AACTATACTCCAATAAAAATTTAAAAAATAGAATAAAACAAGTCACACAAACACCCTCAAAAAAAATTGCACGTGTGCACAGAGTTGGCAGTTCCAATTGGTCTGCCGTAAGCTGTTGAGAAGTGGGTGAATGCTTTCAAATTGTTTATGGATGAAAATGCAGAATGTTACTCTAAGCTTTGCAAAAAGTTGTGGATCCAGTTGGAACTTTTTGCACTAAAATAATAACTTGAGAAGGGAATTTACTTCCGTTTTTAGACAATTAGGCAGTGCTTAATTCACCCTGACAATTCTAGAATTGTGTAATTTATTACTATTTTAAGAATTAAGTTTATTTATTTATTTATTGGCTTCCCTGCAAGGCATGCGGGATCTTAGTTCCCCGACCAGGGATTGAACCCGCACCCCCTGCCGTGGAAGCGCAGAGTCTCAACCACTGGACCACCAAGGAAGTTCCAAGAATTAAGCAGTTTTTAAATTAGTGTGCTAATTTATTTATCTTCCAGAGTTTGAGAAAAAAAATTGGACCCCAAGTCCTGGTGGTCCTCAGACTTACCTGACTTGCCTGCTTGTGAGTGCTCTTAATGCAATTCATCAGAGTGGCACACACGCGCCTTCAACTCAGAGCAATCAGAAAACAAAATTGCTGTCCAGGAGACAAGCTTAAATAACATCCCCTCAACATTCTCCAAAAACTGTGCTCTGAGTTCGTTTTGAGAAATAGAAAGGGAAATCAGATCCAGCCTCACACGCTACTGACTTGGGTTCTAAAACGATGAAATGAATGAGGATGAAGGGGCTTCTGACACATCTCTCAGTCACGGGCACTGACCTGTCATACATCTGTCAAGGTCACAATTAACCCAGGGACTTAATATCTTTGAGGTAATAGAGAACTCCTCTTTCAGGTGGACTTAAAGAAATGAATGAAGGCTGGTCAGTGGGGTTTTAAACACACACAACTCTGGTTTAAACCTTCTCACTGGAAGATAGATGGATCTCCAGCATCATAAGTTCAGGAAGGAGTACTCATTGGTTATAAGAGCCGATGAGATAGAAGGAATGATAAAAGATCTCCAGGGGACATCAATCAATTGGCCTGCTCTTTGAAACTCTCTCCCTCTGCGTGATCTGGGGACTCATCCACTGCCAGGGGGCTGGTGAAGGCCTGCTTTTTCCCCCTTTCCCTCCTCCGCCACTACATCCCTTGCCAACTATTCTAGAAAAAGTCCGCATCCCAGTTGCTGCTTTTTGGATGTCTGTACTAATAACTTCTACATTGTTGTGTATATTTCCCCCAGTGGGTATGAAAGGCTCTAACTCTGCACAAGCAAAATGACAAATAGTTTTTGGGTGGAAATGACTTGCGTTAAAAACGCAGTGAGCTATGTGGAGATCCTTCTAATGAGCTACGTGGAGACCCTTCTTTAGGTTTTACTGATTACCTGGTCTGGTCAGGCCAGGCTGCAGAATCTGGGACCCAGTAGCAGGGGGAAGCCACTCCATGCAGGGATTGATATATCACAATATGTGCACGAACTGTTTAGCTCATGACTTTATGAAAAAGAAAATGTATAAATTAGTTGATTGCAATACACTGTGGAATTAGGATTACACATGTTTTATAATGAGGAGGCCCAAAATATATAAACATGAAGTACAGTAAAAACGCATTCTCCTCATAAAAGGAACGCTCCTGTACTGTTGGTGGGAATGTAAATTGATACAGCCACTATGGAGAGCAGTATGGAGGTTCCTTAAAAAACTACAAATAGAACTACCATGTGACCCAGCAATCCCACTACTGGGCATATACCCTGAGAAAACCATAATTCAGAAAGAGTCATGTACCACAGTGTTCATTGAAGCTCTATTTATAATAGCCAGGACATGGAAGCAACCTGAGTGTCCATCGACAGATGAATGGATAAAGAAGTTGTGGCACATATATACAATGGAATATTACTCAGCCATAAAAAGAAACAAAAGTGAGTTATTTGTAGTGAGGTGGATGGACCTAGAGTCTGTCATATAGAGTAAAGTAAGTCAGAAAGAGAAAAACAAATACCGTAAGCTAACACATATATATATGGAATCTAAAAAAAAAAAAGTGGTTCTGAAGAACCTAGGGGCAGGACAGGAATAGAGATGCAGACATAGAGAATGGACTTGAGGACACGGGGAGGGGGAAGGGTAAGCTGGGACGAAGTGAGAGAGTGGCATGGACATATATACACTACCAAACGTAAAATAGATAGCTAGTGGGAAGCAGCCGCATAGCACAGGGAGATCAACTTGGTGCTTTGTGACCACCTAGAGGGGTGGGATAGGGAGGATGGGAGGGAGACGCAAGAGGGAGGAGATATGGGGATATATGTGTATGTATAGCTGCTTCACTTGTTATACAGCAGAAACTAACACATCACTGTAAAGCAATTATACTCCAATAAAGACGTTAAAAAAAAAGTTTCAACAAAGGAAAAAAAACCCATATTCTCCTCATGAAGAAAAGACCCGATACACCTAAGAAACAGGGGAGCGTTAACTCCTCCACTCCCCACAAAAAATGTTGACAGAAAAACGTCTAGCCAGAGAGGTGAAGCCCAAGAGAGAGTTCAAAGTAGTCAGTTTTTTAAAGGAGGGACGTGAACAACCAAGCCTGCTGAAAAGTCATATAAGGTGAGCACCAAAAAGTGACAAGTGGATGTGAAAAATATCTCCTTGGCGACTCAACCCATTTTAAAGTCACGTCTGAAGCCTGGAGTTAGTTCTGGGCAGGGTTTGGCCCCTGGTCAGCTCACTGACCCTGAAGGCATCTGGTATATCCACACCACCAAGCAGCTTTCTCAGGGCCAGGCTGGTGACAGTCTCGTGAGAGCCAGAACGCCACCCAGACACTGTGTCATCCAAGCGTGCGTGCCTAATGTCCATGGGCTCACTGCTCCGTGCTGATCATTTGTCTGAGAACTTCCCTCTGGGCATCCTGGCTGAGACCTCACTGCCCTTTCCAGCTGGCTCAGTGAACTGGTCTTTTTTGGCATACCACTGTGCTCCATGCCAATGTGGAGTCTTCCTTACGGCTGTTGTGCTGATAATGGTTTTTGTCTGTACATCCCTGTCAGGGAGACAGTTTCCACGGGACTCTCCTTCACTTGGTAAGGAACTAGAAATGGGGGAAGGTGGACTCTGTGCTGAACTGTAGGAGCAGAATCGACATCAAGGAATTGGGTGCAAGTAGCTTACCTGGGAGGTGACCCCAGGAAACATGGAGGCTTAATCCCACCGGGGAACTCTGGAAGCCAGTGCAGATGACGTGATTCAGAGTTATCCCAGCTGGGGGTGAGAGTTAAGGCGTTTCTATATCACCTCCTCTCACTCATTGTTGGAGGGCTGCTGGGTGAATGGAGGTTACTTAACCTCTGGTGTTCCTGCCTACTTCCGGGGCGGGCAACACAGACTCTGGCAGCTTAGGTACAAACAGGCGACACTGGCAGGTGGAAGTCAGGCTTGTGTGCACTTATGGGCTATAGAGGAGGAATGTGGGCGGGGCCCTGACAGCCTCTGTAAGTCTGATGAGATCTCTTCCAACCCATCTTCATCCATTGTAGTCTCTAGGGAGCCTTGCTTCACTAACTGGGCTGCACTCTGCTTCTGCTTCCTCTTCATCACAGCCACCCAGATTTTGGACCCTCCTTATGTTTCTGGGAACCTCTGAGACCAGCTCCCCCTAACCACCCTGGGCTTCTCTGTGGTCAGCCTACACATGATCCACGTGGGTCTGAACTTTGCTCAGCAGGGTCTTGACACAAGCTCACACATACTGGTAGAGAAGTAAGGCAGGGAGATGAGTCTGTATACTTGGAAGAGGTTGGACTGAGGTGCATAGTTTCCAGTCCCCAGGTCCCAACGGGCCTCCTCGGGTGCTGAGCAAGGGGGCCCTTTGGCGGGAGTGTTGCACAAAGATGGCGCCCAAAGTCTTAACATGAGGCTGTGTTTCCAGTCTCCAGGAAATAAGGAAAACCATACCCCTTTATTTCAGCTTCTGTAGCCTCAAGACAAAAAGGTTTTGTTTTTAATCAATCAATGAGCCAAGTAACAAATGTTCACTAGGCAACCACTGTTTGCCAAGCAAAGTGGCACATGTTGAAGGAAACACAGAGATGCTGGAAGGAGTTCTTGCCTTTGGCAAGTGTACAGTCTAGATGAAGAGACCACATTGATAACATGTGACCCTAAGGTAGTTTGACTTAATTTTTAGAACAAACATGCCAGAATTTTTACACGGCATTCTCCCTCAGACGTTCCTATACTAAAGTGTTATCATTTCCTATCATGTCATGTTGATTATTGTCATTACACAGCTTTGCACAGCAACATGTTTGTGGTAAGTACATGGGGCGGCAGAAATGTGAAAATGACACGATTTTTCTCAGTTGCCACATAACCTGAGGTTATTCTCCTTGATCACCGGACAGTGATGTACCATGTTTAGTAAATATGCACAGGGCTTGGAGAAGCATTTTAGAGAAAACGCTAACAGTGCCGAACTAGCAGCAGGGCATGGAGGCACATCTATTTCACCATTACTGGATGCTGTAATTTGAACTTGTATAGAACAAGGGATTTTTTTTTTTTTTTTGCGGTACGCGGGCCTCTCACTGTTGCGGCCTCTCCCGTTGCGGAGCACAGGCTCCGGACGCGCAGGCTCAGCGGCCATGGCTCACCGGCCCAGCCGCTCCGCGGCATGTGGGATCCTCCTGGACCGGGGCACGAACCCGTGTTCCCTGCATCGGCAGGCGGACTCTCAACCACTGCGCCACCAGGGAAGCCCAGAACAAGGGATTTTTAACTTCAAAAAGTCTAATTTAGGATGATTCTTTCTTTACATGGAGGAGAGCTGGTTTCTGGAGATACAAAGTACTACTGTGAGCCCAGGAATTGATATGTATTTTAGCCTCACACAACCCTACAGATCAATTTCGTTTTCCTTCATTTGCCAGATGAGGAAACTGTGGCTCAGAGAGCTGAGATAACTGAGCTCCATCACACCTGGAAGTCAAGGTAGGTGTGAATGCTGGCTCTTGGGACTCCATAGTCAGAATAATATACCTGCTGCCTCTGCCCAGTGAGAAGTCTCTCCCAGCAAGGGCTGCAATTAATAGGAGACTTGTCTCTTCATTGAGGTATAAAAAGAGACCGTTGCCAAAAGCCCTGCTGGATTTTGTTTCCAGGAAAACCAAGGTGGACGCCTGCCAGGGGCTGCCACAAGTTAGCTGGCGCTGCCGAGACACAGAGGCTCAAGTGACGTTATCTTTGAGAGTGACAATCAAATCTGTGCTATCAACCTGGGTGCAAAAACCCAAATCTAATTCTTGGGGTGAGAGATACAGAGCAAGGGAGAGGGCAAGAAATGTTCTAATAAAAGAACCGGTGCCGTGTGAATTCCGTTTCTTAGAAAGAATCTTAAGAAGTTCTTTCTTTTGTCTGCATTGTCATCAACTCTCTGCCTGCTGTGCTGGCTTTCTTTCCACTACCCCTTCCCCTCAATGTGCATCGAAACTTCTTTCTCCTCTTTTGTTCAGTTTAGCAGGAAAGATCTTTGGAGCAGAAGGAATGGGCACCTTTAGCAAGCTCAGATATCAAATAATTTTTCACCTCCCTGTAATTGAAATCACAGGATCGGGATTTGCTTCCCTTTGGCCTGCTCTTCTCTTGTTCTCTGGGATCACAGATGGAGTGGGGTGAGGGTGCTATTGACTCCCCACGGCTTGTCATCTGACAGACGGACACACCAGCCAGGAAGGGGTCTGACTCTTAGATGAATTCTTTTATCCTCAAAGGGGCTTCCTGCAAAGGAAACCATTAGTGTTTTGCTATTGGGTTTCTACTCCCCATGGTGTCTAAGAAATCATTCATTTAATTTTGTGACATTTTGAGTGGATTTGGAGAGCTAAGCCCATTTGAAAAGGCCTGTTCCTGTCTAGGAGGACAGAGGAAATGCAAATAAATTCCAAATGGTCAAAGGCCCAGCAGCCTGAGTGTGGGCCGGCCTGCATCTCTCTTCAGCCTGGGTTACACGTCTGAATAGCTGGTGATGCATTACCCAGCCTCTTCCCTGGCCACGGCCAGGAACTGACCCCAGAACATGAGAAAACTGGCCTGAAGTTCAGCAGCAGAGAGCTTAAGAAATCTTACGTCTTAAAGAGAATGACACTGCACGTGTTCCTTCCTAATTCTCATCTGGTGGATGAAGGTGAGGCTGGGCGTCAAGGTGGAGAGTACGTGCTCTGTCCCACGCCGGCCATGTCACCTGGGTAAGGTCACAGTAATGCTTTTAAAAGATGTAGCAGTTACCTACCTGCCCTGTGGGGTTGTTCTGAGACCAGAGGTGAGATCGTTTGTGTAAAATATTTAACAAAGTACCAGTACACAGTAAAATCGCAGTAAATGTCAGGTGTCACTAATACTGTTTTCAGTATTGCTTTTACGTTCATGGTAGTTATCCACGGTGATTTGTCATGTGCCCTGTTGGTTACCAGACCAGCATTGTCCAATCAAAATATAATGCAAACCGCATATGTAACTTTAAGTTGTCTAGTAACCACATTTAAAAAGTAAAAGGAAACGTAAAATTAATTTTAATGATATGTTTAACCCCCAATAAAAGACTAGTATCATTTCAACATGAAATCAGTGTAAAAATTATTGAGATATTTTACATTCTTTTCTCCATCCTAAGTCTTTGGAATCTGTGTGTACTTACATGCATAGATCATCTCAATTCAGATGAGCCCCATTTCAAGTCCTCAACAGCCAAATAGAGCTAGTGGCTCCTTCCATAGAATGGAGAGGAGGTAGGTTCTGTAGTCTGTAACACGGGGACTATACACCCCTTGACATTTGGGGAAGAAAAATATGTAAAACCATTAAAGGCAATTCTTTGGTGATTTCATTTTTTTAGGTCAAGCTTTTGTTTCTTTGAGTCAATGTTGATGATTTGTGTTTTTCTAGATCCTAGTCTATTTATTCCATTGAGGTTTTTAAATTAAGTACTGTTTAACCTACTGTTAACTTTTGATCTAAAAAACACCTCCTGTGCTGGTGGTTATATCCTACATTCCAGTCCTAATTTCATGTAACAAAGAGATGTTAGTCCTGTTCACCCTCACAAGGTACACAGTTACTGAAGAGAATATACACAAGTCTCTTTTTTGAGAAATCTTAGTGAATTTCCGTTTAACACAGACTGGGAAGTGTTCTTTGTGTTTAGAGCCAGGAGGTCATGATGGTTAGAGCAGATCTGGAAGCAGAGCTGAAACAGAAGCCACATGACCATGAGCTGAGGGGTCAAGGGAGTCAAGGATGTAGAGATACAGAGTATTCTGAAAAGAGGTCCAAATAAGGGGTGAGGAAGGGGTGGTGACCAAGATTAAGAAATGACCAGCTATGTGGTGGGCAGGCTGACACCCACGCCAGATCCTGGCTTACCCAAACCTATCCTCTCAGAGAGAAACCTCTCCACCCTGGGCCCAGGAGATCTCCCCCGATACAAGCTCCCGTAGCAGCCTGTGCTTCTCTTTTATAGTTCTTTTAATGTTTGTCATTATATACCATCTGTCTCGTTCACTAGACTCTAAGCTCCATGAAGTGGGGGGTGGGGGGTCATGTCTGCCTTGTTTTCCAGTAAGTTTTCTTGCACCTGACATAGTGGATGACACCTAGTAGGCTCCCAGTCAATATTTCTTAAGTGAAAGAAAATAAAGAATGCACTTCAGCTTTGATTTTGTGTTAGATGGGAGATAATTGTAGGGTGTGAGGAAATTACCATCAGTGATGAAGAGGTTGAAGCTATGAGAGAGTATAATTACAGCAACATCCTTCACACAATGGGATTAAATGGGACTAAGAAGAAATATAAAAGGACAATTATTGAGAAAGAGGAAGAAGAGAGACACCCATCTTTTGAAGAGGATTAAAAGATTGCCATAAGTATTTGTAAGTGAGAAATAGAAATTTGGAGCCACTATCTCCCAATAACTCTGTCTTGATGAAATGGGTTGAAGGGTGTTTGAGGGGATTAGTAGATCAGTTGCTGAAGAGAAAAGGGACGGGAAAAGAAATGCAGAAGGACAGGTAAATAAGCCAGTGATGGACCTTGGGATTCAGCAGAAGATGGAGAGCATAGATGGGGCTGTTTCCAGCCCCTCAGTAGCCCAGCTGGAAGAGCAGGTGGATTAAGAAAAGCTCCTTGGAAGATTTCAGATGGTTTGGTATATGGTGGAAGAGCAGGGGATCAAAGATGTTGAAGTTCTGGGGAGAGGATCCAGGGGACTAGCCCTGGGGTGTGGACTGAACAGGTGAGAAATTATGACCAAGAGGCTGTAATTATGAGAAGCATCAAGGAACAGAAGGATGTGGGTCAGAGACATGAAGATTGGAGTTTAAACTTTCACAGGTGGAGTTGTTCCCAGTGATGGCATGGTCCCTGGAGAGAGCAGGGAAGTAGGTAGCTGAAGCCAATAGAAGTGAGGATGGGGTTTTGGATGGCTATTATCCTGACTATTGATATCCCTGGCGTGCTTTTAGACCATGTCTTAGAGAGGAAGACAGGTCTCACATCTTGAAGACCATGGAATGGGTAGTTGATAAGTAACAGAAGCAAGGAAAGGTGGAGCTAGACGGTCATCTGTGAACCAGATTTTGTCCTTTGTCCCTCTTGCTGTCTGTCAGTTTCCCATCCGTGACTCCCAGACTACAAACCTTGTGCGTAAGGCCTGGGCAGCTTCATGAAAGTCTGCAGTGAAATGGATGCCTATCCTTCAGTTACCTGCTCACAGTTGGGAAGGTAAAAGAAATTTGCAAGCTTAGCAAACTTTCAAACTTACCTAAGGATGATAAAAATCTTAAGGGAAAAACTATTTGGGATGTAGGCCAAAATATCTTCAGATTAATCAGATGTTCACCAGAGGCCTGGACAGCCTGTCAGCCAGTGGCTGAGATATGAAAGATCCCATAGTAAGTTTGGAGCAGAGTTGAGGCAACAGACAGACACAGTCTGCTTTCTCTGAAGCATCTGGTTTTTAGGGCTGCAGGCCTGTCTCTCCAGGGAATGTATGATTCTGCTGACTGATGAATACAAGAGAAAGGAGCGATCCACTGAAGCCTGGCACATGGTCTGCCGCTGTAATTACTTGGCAAGTCCGTTATCACTCTGGCCCTAGTTTCTTCATCTGGAAAATGAAGCTGGTGGTCAGGATGGACGTTTTCAAGCAATGTTCCAGTTAGAAAACCTGGGGGATGTCTCAGCACACCTCATGGCTCTTGTCCTCATCTCCTTGGCTTTCAGATTCTTGATCTCATGGTCCCAGCTTTAATACCTGTCTTTGGTGACTTATTTGAACCTCCACTTTGGCTTTTTGGATCTTGTCTCACTACTCAGCTCTTAACATATACTCATTCTTCCAACGTGAGGATCCCTACCAGCTTCCAGAAATTGAGTCCCTCTTCTTTTTCCAAAGGGACCCTAGGCACCCAATCACCAGAACATCTCTGAGTCTGTGCAGTGGTACCCACCTTCCACATCCAGTCCTCACCTTCGTGCTAGATGTCTACATCCAGGACCACACGAGGCTACATTCGTGTGTTCATGAGGGGAGTTGAGTTCAGCATCGTCCTATTCTGCCGTCTTCATCCCACCTCCCCAGATCCATGCTTTTAAAGGACAGCTCCCTCACCTTTGTCAGAACCAGTCATCCTCCCTGTGGGAGACTTTGTGTCTTGTCTTTGATCCTCTCCTCTCTGTATGACTTTGAAGCATTCACTGTTTACTAGCATCTCTCATTTTGAGACAAAGAGACAAGATGCAGTAGGTTCACAAACTTGCGGCTAGAAGATGGATAAGTTCTGGAGATCTGAAGCACAGCATAGTAATTATAGTCAACAGTACTTTACATACTTCAAAGCTGCTAAGAGACTAGATCTTAAATGTTCTCACCACAAAAATGAAATGATACCTATGAGACACCGTAGAGGTTTTAACTAATGGTATGGTGATAATCATG